CCCTTCCCCTTCTCGTCATGCCGCCGCCAGGCCTGCGGCAAACTTTATTCCAGCTTTTCATGTCAGCAGTTCTGTACTACTTTCCGCCTATAATCCTATTTTTTATGGCTTGGCATTACTGCTTTTCTTCCGCGCTTTTTTATTAGTCTTGGCGGCTAGGTAGGTATTTTTTTTCCGATATCATCTTCACTACGTCATCCCACGAGGTCGCCGCACTTCAAGAACGCCTCTTGGTCAGTTCTACGTCTGGTACACTCTTTTGCCCTGGCAGCAGCAGCTTCACTCGTTCACTCGTGGTTCGTCTTTCCCCCTCTTCTCGGCCCCCCCTTCCTTCCTTTTTTCACGAAACAAGTAACAAGACTGTTCTCCTCCCTCCCCCCACACGTTTAACCCCCTCTTTTAGGGCTTCACTCGAGACCAGATCACCACCGAACGCTACCTCAATCTCAGGTACCACGGAACCGACGTCGCAGTGATGACGGCGGAGCCGCCCGCCGCCGCCGCCGCCGCCGCCGGGGAGGAGGACGCAGCCGACGGCGCCCAGCAGCGCGGCCCAGCGCCGTACGCCGCCGCCTTCGCCGCCGCCTACCGCCGGGAGTTCGGGTTCGTACTGGATCGAGATGTGTGGGTGGATGACGTACGAGTACGAGCGATTGGACGAGCACGGCCGCTGCCGGACGACGCGGTGTCGGCGGTGGAGGAGCCAGGTGGGGGCCGTGTGACGGCCGCAGGTGCTGTTTCACCAATCTCTACTTCCCTTTTTTTAAGAGTGGCACTATCATATACACACACACGCACCCCGGTCCCTTTGAGGTTATGCGCTATACGTGATACTCGGCCTGTCACACTCACACTTCTGCGGTTCTCCGGACGTCATCATGTGATCCTTGATCGCCTCTTTTCTTCCTATCATCGCAACATTTCTGGATGCTTCTCCCATGCGGGGGGCCTAAAACCCTGAACTCCCCCTCCCCACGGGCCCCCCTCCCCTCGCCCGCGCGTGGTTCGTGGTTCGTCTTTCCCCCCCCCCGACCTCCTCCCCTTCAGGTCCTTTGCCGCCTCCCGCCACCACCACCTCCGCCTTCTTCGAGCCGGCCGGCCGCCAGCCTACCCCCGTCTACACGCTGGAGTCCCTCCAGCCTGGACATGCCGTACACGGCCCCGCGCTGCTCATTGACGCCATCTCCACCATCGTTGTCGAGCCCGGCTGGCGAGCCGTCGTAACGCCAGGGGGGCATAACGTCAGAATTGAGGCAGTGACGGCGGCGGTGGAGTCGCCACCGGCGACGGCGACGGCGGCGGCTGCTGTGGAGTGCGACCCCGTTCGCTTGGCCATCTTCAGTCACCGCTTTATGGGTATCGCGGAGCAGATGGGCCGCACCCTGCAGCGCACCAGCGTGTCGGTCAACATCAAGGAGAGGTTGGACTTCAGTTGTGCGCTGTTTGGGCCCGATGGCAGCCTGGTGGCGAATGCGCCCCACCTGCCCGTACACCTGGGGGCCATGTCGGAGGCAGTGCGGTTCCAGGTGTGTGTATGTGAGTGTGTGTGTGTGTGTGTGTATGTGTGTGTATGTATGTGCGTGAACGTGTGTTTCGTGTGCGTTTGTGTATTTCTGCAGTACGTGTATGTAGAGGGCTGCCGGGTACGTATGTCGTAAATGTTGGGGTCACGTGTCTGGGTTCTTTTTTTTTAAGGCCTTCCCTTGCCTGCACATACACACATACACACACACACAACCCACACGCTCCCTCCTTCCTTCCCTTTCCTGCCGTCCTCCCCTCCCCCCTGCCTTTCCCTCCCCTCCCTTCTCCCCTCCCCCCACCGACACTTCACTCGTTCGTGGTTCGTCTTTGCCCCACCGACACGCAAAAAAGGTGCGGTACTACGGCCCCGATGGTCCCGGAGCAGAGGAGGGGCTGCAAGAGGGAGATGTGCTGCTATCTAACCACCCCCAACTGGCGGGGGGTAGCCACCTACCGGATATAACGGTCATAACGCCCGTGTTCAGCGCTGTAGCTGAGGAAGACGAGGAGGGAGGAGGTGGAGGTGGAGGAGGTCCGCGGCGGATTGTGTTTTTCGTGGCGTCTAGGGGCCACCATGCCGACATTGGCGGCATCTCCCCGGGGAGTGAGTGGGGGGCGGGGAGGGGAAAACACATCCACACGGGGAGCCCCACACTGAGGGGGCCTTCCGGGGGGGCTGACCTTCCTCCTCGGACATGGGGAGTTCGCCATTCGACACTAAAAACTAAAAATAAAAAACGTGCTGATCTGGAGTTGTTGACTTCGGACATTTTCCTCTCGTCTTTTCACTCGTTCGTGGTTCGTCTTTCCCCTCTCCCCCCAAACCGCCCCGACCTGGCTTGCTGGTCTTTTAAACGCCTCCTCCTCCCCTGCCCCTGCCCCTGCCCCCTAGGTATGCCGCCCACCAGCAAGCTGCTTGTGGAGGAGGGAGCGGCGGTGGTGAGCTTCAAGATTGTACGGAAAGGCGTGTTCCAGGTCGGTGTGTTTTGTTGCCTATTTTGGCACACCCCGACCCTGCCCTGTCTCACCCTCTCAGGGTTTGCTTCCCCCACCTACCCACCTACCTAATACAGACCTTTTTCTGTCTAGTCATTCTGTCTGGCCCTTTATATCAATCCGTCTATCTGTCCGTCTGTCCGTCTGTCTGTCTGTCTGTCTGTCTGTTTGTCAACCTGTTCAGGAGGAGGGCATCACGGAGTTGCTTCTAGCCCCGGGGAAACTAGCGGAACAGATCCCCCGCATCAGCGGCACTCGCAATCTGTCGGATAATCTCTCCGACCTCAAAGCGCAGGTAAGTATGTACGTATGTATGTGCATCTGTATGTGCATGTGCGTGTGCGTATGTGGTATGGCATCTGTGGGAGGCTGCTTATTTGCCTGTATTTATGTCTTTTTATGTGTGCGCTTTCATGTGTATCAAGGAAGGACGCGTCGCCGTACAACTCCTCATCCAGTTGCGTGCCATTGTGTGTTTTCCCCCCCCTTTCTGTTTCCCCCCTCAATACACCCGCACGCGGGCCCTCAGTATATTTCCCCCCCTTCCCCCACCAAACCCCAAAACCCCCCAAAACCCCAAACCCCTGCCCCCCCCTGTCCAGGTGGCGGCCAACACCCGGGGAATCCAGTTGGTGTGTGAGCTCATCAAGGAGTACGGCATGGGGGTGGTGTCGGCCTTCATGGGGCACATACAGAGGAACGCGGAGCTGTCCGTACGGGATATGCTCCGGCGCTTCAGTGAGAGACAGGTGATGACGGCAGGGGGGGTGGTAAGGGGGCGGGGGTAAGGGGGCGGGGGAAAAGCGGGGGGGTAAAGGGGGGGGTAAGGGTGGTGGTGGTGGTGGTGGTGGTAGGGCAGAAGTTGGGTGAAAGAGCTGTGGAAAGAAGAGAACGTTCTCAAAAGCCAGGTATACGGCAATAGTTTATATGTACGACAGGACCTTGGCCGGTTGAGCTGATCTGTCTTGAAGTCTTCATTTGGTACGACTACTTGCTTCTACACCTCATCATCACTTGTCCCTTGTTTCTTCCTCCTCCTCTCCTTTTTTCCCGGGCCCCAGGTCCCCCGAGTCCCCAAACCCGTACTTCCGTGACCCTCCCCCCCACCCGCCCTTCCTCCTTCTCCCCCCTTTATCCCCTTCCTTCCTTCTTTCTTTCCTTCCCCCCTTCCTTCCTTCCGTAGCACTGCCCCTTTTGCGGCGTTGTCACCGCCACTTGCTTCGTCGACAATTTCGTTATCTTCATCGTCATTATCAATTCAATCCTCTGGTTCCCAATTTTCCCCTTGGTTGCCTTTCTTACCCCTCACGAGCCCCCCCTGCCTCTCTCCTCCCCCCGTCCCCGTGTGTGTGTGTGTATTGCCGTTCAGGGTCTTCCCGAAGTGGGCACCGTACACGCACGCGACATCATGGATGACGGCAGCCCCATCGCGCTGTCTGTCACCATAGACCGGAGGGACGGCTCCGCAGTGTTCGATTTCGAGGGCACTGGTGAGGTGGCAGTGGGTGGCAGTGGGTGGCAGTGGGTGGGTGGGTGTGCCTGTGAGCGTGTGTGTGTGTGTGTGGTGTGGGGATAGCCGTCCTTCCCGCTACTCCTGCCCACCATGGTGGGGTGGAGGTGAGGTGAGGTGGGGGTGGGGGTGGGGGTGGGGGTGGGGGTGGGGGTGGGGTGCATTGCCTGCTCAAAGCGCAGGCTGCATGGGCGGGACTGTGCCGCGGCGCGTGCTGAGGTTGGTTGGTTGTTTGAGGGCCTTGCGCTCTCTTTTGGGGGCGGGGCAGCGCGTCCTCGGTCGAGCAGGAGGGGATAGAGGCCCCCCTCGCGCCCCTCTCCCCCCGCCACAAGGAGGAGGAGGAGATAGTGCCTCGGCGGTTGTTCCCGTTGGGGTATACGGTTAGAGGTGCCCCTGGCCAGTGTCAGGGCCCCGGATGGATAAGTAACAAATACATCCACACATCCGCACCCACCCACCCACCCACCCACAACCCTCCCACACACACACACACACATGCACACACACAGACACACACACACCTCCCACACACACCTCCCACACACACACACACGCACACACACACACACGCACACCCCGCGTCTCCAGGTCCCGAGGTGTATGCCAATCACAACGCCCCGCCCGCCGTCACCTTTTCGGCCATCATCTACTCGCTGAGGTGCATGGTGCAAAGCGATATACCCCTAAATCAGGTGTGTGTGTACGTGTGTAAAAATCATCCCCAAAGTCTCTTCTTCGTCTCCCCGAAGGGGGGTATGTAAGGGGGGGAAAGTCTAGCGGGACGAGGGGGAAAGGGGGTATACTGTCTGTCTGTCTGTCTGTCTGTCTGTCTCTGTCTGCGGGTCTGCCTGCCTACCTGGGCCCAGTTGTGGGGCTGCCGGGGTGCGTCTGCGGTGCCACTCCACTCATTCATCAGCGCAATGGGCGCCGCGGTAGGCACAGGCTGTAGGGTGTGTTGTTCATGTCCCCCCCTTTGCAGGGCTGTCTGGCGCCCATCACGGTGCGCATACCCCCGGGCAGCATCCTAAACCCCTCCGACACGGCCGCGGTGGTGGGGGGGAATGTGCTGACCAGTCAACGAGTGACGGATGTAGTGCTCAAGGCCTTTGAGGCGGCTGCGGCATCTCAGGTACATACATACATACGCCGCTGTGTATACATATGTCGCTGTGTATACATATAATATGTGTATGCATGTATGCATGTACACTGTATGTAAGGACAGCTTGGAATGTTTTAGTGGTGGGGTGCGGGAGGGGCAGTTGCGGCTGGGGGTGCCGAGGGGGCCACGCGTGGGTGGGGGTGGGGGTGATGGGGGTGGGGTGGTAGGGGGTGGGGGTGAGGGCTGGGCTCCAGGGGCAGTGGAGGGAACAGCTGTGGTAGGTATACACCCCCGCCTTTATGGAGTGGGAGCCATGAGCAGGCAGAAGCGAACTCGGATCCCCCACTTCCTTCCATCCCTCCCCTCCCTTTCCACTTTTACGTCAGCACTTTCTTTTCTCGCCGCCTTCACTACTTTTTCTACACCTACTAGTTTACGTTTTTTGGCTATAATATTTCTGGCGGCTTAGGTAGGTAGGATTTCCAACTTCTACGCCAATTCTTCATCCCGAGGTTACAGTCGTCATCCCGAGGTTACAGTCGTCACAGTCGCCACGGACGCCTTTCGGTCAGTTCTTTCGGTTGCTACTATCTTGCTCTGGCAGCAGCTTAAATCGCGTGTGGTTCGTCTTTCCCTCCCCTCCCTTCCCACCCCGATTCACCCCCGCCTCTTTTTTTGCGGTCTCCCTCCCTGCGAGCCCTCCGAGCCGTCCTCGCCCCGGCAGTTGACTAGTTTGCTTCTTGCATCATCCTCAATATCCTCAATATCCTCAATATCATCATCCACTCCTACCATCATCGTCGCCTTCTTCTTCTTCTTCTTCTTCTTCTTTATCTACGTCTTCTTCTTCTTCGTGCGATATATCCTTGAAAGGAATCTTCAGCAACACCCCTCCCCCCCCCCGCCCCGGTCCATGTACTCCCACACACACAGGGCTGCATGAACAACTTCACGTTCGGAGACGAGCAGATGGGCTACTACGAGACCATCGCCGGGGGGGCGGGGGCGGGTCCGGGCTGGGCGGGCCGCAGCGGGGTGCATACACACATGACCAACACACGGATCACTGACCCGGAGATCCTGGAGCGGCGGTACCCCGTGGTGCTGCACGCCTTCCGACTGCGGCCTGGCTCTGGGGGCCGGGGCTGCTGGCGGGGGGGTGACGGAGTGATTCGGCAGGTGGGGCCCCGGGGGTTCATTGCTGAGGGGCGGGAGAGAGGGGCAGTGGGAGGAGGTTGATGAGGGCGGTGATTGAAACGTGGGGAGATTCGGTATGTATGTATGTGTGTATGTATGTATGTGGGGTATTGTTTGCATGGCTGGTTACTGTGCAGGAGGCATA